ATCTTTTTTAGATATACTTCATTCTCGCTATTTTTCTTGTATATCCGATGTAATTGTGTTTGTCTTAAAAACCAAGTGATTGCACACAGTGGCGTCACTAGGGCCAGCGGCACCCGGGGCGGTGGCCCACCGCGACCCCCTCCCCCCCCCCCTCGCTCTCGTGGCCAACAGCGACATCCCCTTCCCCCCCTTTCACTGCCCAGCTGCACCCCCCCCCCCCCCCCCCCCCGAGCTCTGCACCTTTAGTGACGCCACTGAACGTATAACATTAGCCCTGACCACTAAAAACGTAGTTTTTTTTTTTGTTGTCGTATTTTAGGAAAAACAACATTACAAAAAGAAGCTAACTGATCTTCGCGCCCGCCTTGAATCATAGATTTGTTAGAGACTAACCAGACACGCCGCAAACTTTTCAATCCCCTGATCTTTTGGATTGGGAAGTTAGAGCTCGCCGGGGTCGGTCGTGCTGATTCGATTCTCTACGGGAATCGTTCCACACCTCAAAACAAACGCTTGAATTCAACCAAGAAGGTTTCTCCAAGATGCCCTCAGAGACCCCGCCCCACGAAATCCAGCCGACCCTATAACAAACACATGCATTTTGACCCTCTTTCTTTCCTTCCGCGCACCAAGTCATAAACATCCTCGCCACCATTGCCTCCCCCTCCCCCCCCCCCCCCCCCCCCCCCCCGGAAACGAAGTCCCTGGCTGGAACACTGGTTCACCGGGAAGGAATAAAAACAACAACAAAAACACTGAAGTAAACGAGAAAAGAACACTCACAGTTTTTTCAACGAGCAGCGATATTTATATGATGCCCATCGCACTACGAAAACCGCTTTAGTCACAGAGGAATTGAAGGGAGACGAAAATTCAGGGAGTTAAATACAAGATAACTGTATTTTACTCACTGAAAAAGAATTTTAAAAAATTCAAAGGAGGCTTTTTGTATAACCCTGGCGCTAGGAATTCCAGCTCTTTTATCGACAGCGAAAACAAAGGTTCTGAACCATTGTCTGTTGTATTCTTGATCTTAAATGCTTCAACTATTTCTCGTTCATACCTGTCCTTGTGTGAACCAAGCCCTGTGGTGCTTACATAGCTAGGGGTGCAATCATGGCTGGTGCGGGCCAGCACCACAATTTTATCTGAAGAATCAGATGACGCCTTGGTAACTTCTAGAAAGTGTTCTCTAAGGCGAAAGTTCAGGCATCGTTTCGTCGGGCCGATGTATTGGCTACCACAACTCAGCGGAATAGAATAAGTAGGCTTTTCTTGGCATTTATCATATTTGTTGAAGTGCTTGATGAGGCATTCCGGTGGACGACTTTCGTTATTCATCTTTTGGCAGACTCGTTTTAACTTCATTGTACATGTGAAGACCACCTTCGGCGATGTTATACACGCATGAAATGCAAGCCGGGGGGGTGTGTCTGTGTCCTTTGTTGTTAGATGAAGGACGGTTGGGGGGTGGGATGAGACACTGAAAGGTAGTACGGAGGCGGTCTGCTGCGTACCCGGCTGTAAACAGTCCGTAATTTTGTAAGGTTTCGAAATTACTGATAAATGTAAAGGATTAAGTGTAATTTTGTTACTTGTAACAAATTATGTATAAGTCTGAGTCTACCCATCCTGTGCAGAGCCAAACCCGTAGCTCTAAAACGGCGCTACACAGCTTCTCCACATCAGCAAAAGCGAATGTCTTCGAAAACATAGAGCAGAAAGGGGAAAAAATGTTGTCCATTTTACGTCACCAACGATTCCCGAAATCGGGTGTTCTTGATTTAGCCGAGCATCATCCCCTATCACCGCCATTAGAGCGTCAATATTGGAGCTTTTTGGACTGCCGCAAGGTGACTCTGCCTATCGAAAATGGTATATTGCGTTTGAATTCAAACGCAATATACCATTTTCGATGGGCAGAATTCTACCAAGCAAACGTAGCAGCCTTAAGGCTGCTACGTTTACTTGGTAGAATATAAAAGTTAATTCGCTTGTGGATTGTAAAAAAACAATTGCAGACGATAGGTTTCTATACTGCATTCAATAAGAAATAAAACGATCTTTTAACTTTCACCTAATATTGGTGATAACAAATGGACGTTCCTAACCTGCTCTCCGACACCCAGTTAGTCGCTCAGGAGGAAACCATTGAGCATAGTCGGAATACTGGCCGCACCCGAAAACGTTTCGCATGCCGAAAAAAAAAAAACGTTTCCTTAGTAGGTCCGATAGTATTTAGATATTAGTTATGATGGATCAACCGGTACGGCTCGCGTCAGTACACGAGTCGTTTACGAGGGGCGCTATTTGCTTTTTAGCAGCATGATTTTTAATTATACGAGTAAATAACAGGGGAAAGGGGGTAAGATCCAACTTTAAGTAATAGAGAAGAAAAATTGTTTGCCTGCACGCACTGCGTGCACGGAAGCAACTTTCCCCGCCCGAAAAATTAGGCGACCCGATTTTGTTTTTGATCTAACAAAACAAACTTTGAAGAATTGTAGACCCTTCAATTAATTTGTACTACCACGCCCTTCCCGCTCCTCAAATATAGCATGGATATCCGAATTATGCTATCAATATAGTTACAAGATGTGTAATTTAAATATCAAAGATAAAAAAGCTTGCGCTTATACCAGTAGGCCATTAATGCATTCAAATTAGTGAAGACAAACTAAATATTACCAGCGATCAAAAAGTAATAAATGACTTCATATAAAACAACTTTGTACATGTAGTTTGTAAATATTTGTATACAACATATTGACAAGCATGAATACAAGCACAAATTGTTTCAGCAACAAGATTGAATAGCGAAAGTATCTGACGTCGATCCCGATCTCATGTAAGGATCCATGAAGTTAGCATTTTACGGGGCACAGGGTAGGTAGATTAAACGTTCCAGTTTTATTTGGTATGTGCGGTGCAACACAAAACGAGAGACGCGATAAAACAAAGTAATATAAAATAATATGCTACGCACAAAATTCATCAATCGTTTCTTCTTAAAAAAAAAATACATCCACCAGGCAGCTACCTTAGATGAAATAGTTTCTCTTAACGACGATAAATATACACGCAGAACGCTCCGAAATATATTCGACAACAAATTGCCGAGCAAGCCATCCTGCCGTTAAAAAGTTCGCCAAATACTGTACAGAAACAAAATACACATCCACGGTAATGCGTACTGAAATAAATATAATTCACGCCTGAATAAACAGCGATTCAGACGCTCACTCTATATTTGCACAAAGTTGCCGCGAATGCTTGAACAAACAGTGGACACCGTGAAGAATACTTTTTCCCGGAACTTGCAATGATGCGCTCTTGTATAGACTTCTCTGTACTGACAAAGCCTGGCAGATCGTCACGGGACGCGGCCGCCGAAAGTGAAAAGGTGGAACGGCAGACAAAGTCATGTAACGCGGGAGCACACACACACGTTTGGCCAGCGCACGGCCGGCACACGGAACGAGTTAAAGCGAAACAACCAAAAGATAAAACATTCCTTCATGGCGACGTGACGGTAGAGTGTACTAGAATACGGGGTAGTGTTGGGACCGGAGCGGCTCGCGTGACGCGTGTGGTGTAGATCTCGATAGGTGGCGATACCGGTGCATGGGGACTAGGGTCAGTATGGTGGTGGCTGTACGCGTGCACCGCGTGCACCCGCGCGTGCGGCGGCACGTGCGGACTGCAGCGGCTTTCTGCTGCCCTGTCAACTGCAGCGCCGCGATTGTTGTCTATACGTGCAGCCTCACGAGTTCCCATTGTCGAGTCGCGCCGGTTCAAACACTACCCCGTATACTAGTACATTGTAGTGACAGCTGGCGCAGGAGCGGCTGAAGGCGGCAGCGACCGTGGCGGAGTTGTAAAATCCGCGCAACCCCCTCCACAAGCGCGCAACCCGAGCGCCAGCGCTGTGAATACGGCGAGGGTGAGAACTGCTTCCGAGTGAGGTCAGTGAGTGAGTGAACTCATGAGTTCGATCAGGGGCGTGAGTTTGTGAATTTGGTGAGGGGCGTGAGTTCGCGGGTTCAGTATTTTCATGAGTTCGGTGAGTTCATCAGTTGGGTGAGTTCATCAGTTCGGTGAGTTCGGCGAGTTCATGAGTTCGGTGAGGGGCGTGAATTCGGTGAGTTCATGAGTTCCATGAGTTTATCTGTTCTGCGAGTTCGTGAGTTCGGTGAGGGGCGTGAGTTCGGTGAGTTCATGAGTTGGATGAGTTTATCAGTCCGGTGAGTTCATAAGTTCGGTGAGTTCATGAGTTCGGTGAGTTCATCAGTTCGGTGAGTTCATCAGTTCGGTGAGTTTATGAGTTCGGTGAGGGGCGTGATTTCGGTAAGTTCATGAGTTCGAAGAGTTTGTGAGTTCATGACTCGGTGAGTGAGGACTTGAAGATGAGCGTGGCCGGGAGGGTGAAGGTGAGTGGGTTTTTAGCTCTTTTATATTTTGAGCTTGCAGTGATGAGTAAGTTCAACCAAAAATGCCAACCTCTGTGTGCAAGTCACGTATACTTCGTTGCACCTTAAGTCAGCAGAGTGCATCTGCCTTTTGCCCTTTCTCCCAACACAGTGTGCCCAAAAAAAAACATTAAGACACGAAACGTGAAGTACGAGCGCGGCGGACGGTACGAAGCAAGGGACAAATCAAGCAGAGCCGAAAGCACAACGTACGCCGTTTTTTTGCCGGTGCTCATTCGCCCATTTATTCTTTCAAGCACAGAACGTTGACCGTTCTTTTACGGTCTGTTTCTATGCGCTCGTTTGTTCAGTAGGTGAAATTGTTGCAAGTAAAAAAACTAGCATTTTTGTTTAGATTTATAACTACAGAAAAGTACTATTGCGCCATTTATCCGGCACCTCTGACCGTTTGTGATGTCAGCGATTGCTGGAGCGTAAAGGCTGACGGGACCACCGGCGGCTTCTTGCAGTCCCTTTCTATTTTGGAACCTTGATGAGGAATGTATGCTTTTCGCACCCTTATTTTTGCAGCTGGAAACCGAACAATAAGCTGTTCCCAGATACAAAGGAAGAACAACAGCAAGAGCGGTGTATATACAATTCATCCTCTCTACAATCCAGTAGATGTTATGTGTGACATGACGTCCGACGGCGGTGGTTGGACAGTAAGTGTCTCCACATTCACAGTTACTACAAAGTGCATTTCAGAAATAACTGCCTTTTTTATTTTGGTGAAGGGGGAAGAATGTTGAAAGTGGCCGTGCGACAATATTAAAGGGTGCAAGGAACCGATAATGTTAACTCGCCGCAACTCCGAGCATATGGAGAGGAGGGTCGCGCTGCACAACCCAGGGATCGTGGATTTAATCTCTAAAACTACCTGTTCTCTCCGGCTGAACATCATACTTGCGTGAGGTCGTGTATTACGATTCCGTGGTTTATGCTAAAGTCCCCGGGACAGCAGTCGTACTACACTGGCAAAGTTTCTTATCTTCAGCGTGTAGCAAAGTCGCTATACTCCAGCAGACCAACTAAACGCTGTCTAAACATTCAACGACTAATTTGTTATGTTTTGCAACGACCTCAATGTTGCCAGAATATGCATCGTGTTACTTTCATTTTATTTAAGTTAGTCAAAGTAAAAAAAAAACTAAAAAACATGCTGCATTGCCCTGGAATGCCGCGATTCCACAGTGCAATCAGGGCAGCGAATGAGCAAGTTCTGCAATTATCTGGTGGATTTAAATCGAAGTTTTATAAATTTTGTCCGAATATAAGTAGATGTGTCAGAACCCTTTTTTTATCGAGTCAACAATGTGGCGCCATCTACCCGACTTCAACAAAACCATCATTCTCCCCCTGTTTCTGTGACGAACGAATAAAAACGCGTGTTTCCACTCCTGCTCGTCCGGAATTGGATACTGACCAAGAACATCAGCATGGTCCAGGTAACGCAGACCGGAAGCTCTCCTTCCCTTTTCCGCACGTCACTGCACTCACTACACGGAGGACGGTGTAAGAGTTCGAAAGCACCACAAACGACAGTTTATATTTATTTTAATATAACAAGCGAATTTAAAAAATATAGTTTCCTGTTCCGCCGCTAGAAGTGAAATAACTCCCACAAGTATTGGGTCATAGTCGCATATTCGCGAAATCCACAGCTTATGAATTGCCCGATTGCTGCCTTTTTTTAGTAAGGCATAGCTAGTTCAATTCTTACTTTATAAAAAATACCTTACGTCCTTTAAAATTTTTGAACTTTATGAAATCGAGCAACCTAAATACAACCGTAAAGGGACGCTGACACCCTCCAAAAACTGCGTTAATTTTTCGCCAGGCGATTTAGAATAGTGTCAGGAGACTACCCAATCAATCTGTTGCAACAGAGTCGCGTCCATTTTTAATAAAGCAAAAAAAAAATGCTCACTATGACTTGGCCTATTCGAAGCTTGTAAAAAGAGGAATTGCCTCCAGTTGCCTGGCTGCATTTCAGAAGATATCCTGCCCCACCAAGACGAGTTTTATTTTCCAGTCACACATAGTTAGATTGCATGATGTTGGTTTCCCACCCCGTCCGTGTTTTTTTGTGATGTTGCAGTGGGTTCAGTTAAAAAGCTGAAAGGGCTTGGCAGAGGAAAGCAGGCTCAGAGGGCGAGGCGAGAGTTCAGACTTGTTGTCATGCCATATCTGCACAAGGTTTCCCATAACCTGAAAAAGGTGGCAAAAAGGTCTATCGTTCCGGTGGTTCTTTCAGCGCCAAACAAACTTTCTCTGTTATGTAAAATAAAAAGTGAAAGCCGTTTACAACTTCCTGTAACGCCGAATTAGAGCGCAGCTCTTGAGGAGGAGGAGTGGAGGTTATATTCCTCCTCCTCCCTCGTGATCATGCCTGCTAGTCCTCCTCCCCTCCTGCTCCCCCTCCCTCTCCTTTACCACCTCCTCGTCCTTCAAGCTCCTCCCCTCCCCTCGCCTCCGCCTCCTCGTCTCTCCTCCCCCCTCCTCCACCTTCGTACTGCTTTCCTCCTTGCCGCTCAAGCCGGACAATGAGGGGAGGAGGAGGAGAAGGAGGGGGAGGAGGAGGAGGGGGAGGAGGAAGAGGGCGGGGGAGGAGGAGGGGAGGAGGAGAAGGGGGAGGAGGAGGAGGGGAGGAGGAGGGGGAGAAGGAGAGGGAGGAGGAGGAGAGGGAGGGGCGCGGTTACGCCGACGCCGACGGCGACGGCGACGGCGACGCCGACGCCGACGGCGACGCCGACGCCGACAGCGACGGCGACGCCGACGCCAACGGCGACGCCGCTCAGGCTGGACACGGGCCCCTAAGAGCTGCGCTCTAATAACCAAAAAAGACGGAGAGTCAAGGGAGGCAGGAGTGTACATCAAACGTCATGCCACCAAGTTTCGTGAGTGCGCCATGGGGGTCACCCATGAAATGCCCTTTTCATGCGTTAGGGTTAACGTCGGCCAGACGGGGAAGTACGTCATCGATGGAAGTAGAAAGCACTCAGGCTGCCACCGGGCAATCCCCATCTGGTCATTTGGCTGTTCACTGCGATAGACGTGAATGCCGAACAGAGTTCCATAGAACCCGGTTGCGGGAACATTCAAAACGCAACTGGAGCCTGAAATACACGAGGCCTTCATGATAAGGGCCCATGGTTCGAATGCTTCTATCGGAGCTCCCTCTATCGCCTTCTCTGATAAGGAGCAGGCTTTTATCAGTCAAGCTTTAGACATCCAGCAGTGACGTCTGACATTTTTTTTTATCTAAATATATTCTTTGTGTGCATGTGCGTTTTTAATTTTTTTTTATGTGTGTTCTATTAAAATTCAGTTCCAAGTTACGCGCTGTCCTGTGTGCCTCTCTCCTCTGTCCTTGTTTTTTATTTGTTTGTTTTTTGGGTGGGGGAACGAATTTTTATTATGTACAGCAAACAAGTTTTAGAACAAAAAAATTGACTCCGTGATGGGACTAATTTAGACGGGAGGCGAGTAATGACCAACAATCTCAATACCTCAAAATTACACACTGAGGAGCATAAAGAATCCGGAAGCAAGTAACGCGCACTTTATACAAAAAAAAAAAATCAAAGGCGCCAAGACTAATTCACTTTAGGCACGATTACATCCAGCGCGCTAGCCTAATCGTGAACCTCGAGTCACTTCGAACGGCGCTGCCCAATGTCCCGCGCTTTGTCGCTCGGGAACATATGCATCCGTCCAGGTGGGTACCGATCGTCCTTGCTATACTCCGGTTCCTTGTATGTCTAACCGCAGCAGGACGTTACAAACTGATAGAGCTTATCAAGCACAGTGCCAAACGCGCATCGTCATGGCGTTCGTTGGTTTTGTAAGCCTGCCATCACCTTCTAAACCAATCACGCAGAGAAAAGGATAGCGGCCGGGTGCATTCACTACAGTTCTAGGGAACCGGTTTCGCACGTCCGATACGGTGCAACGGGCCCTCTGGTATGAACTGCGCTTGCGCGAGTCTTCTGCTGTAGCATATGCGCAGTTGGTACCATCATACTTTAGCGACGAGCATCATGACGATGCACTTTTGGCGCTGCTTGAGTGGCACCTAGGGATCGTAGCTTCGGCTGCGCTTGTACGTATTGTGGAATGCGGAGTGCAAGTTCGTCTGCTTCTTTTGCAGGGGTTGTGTTGACGTCAAAACGCCGAGCTCTGATTGGCTCTGATTGAAAGATAGTGGGTAGACCTTAAAAGAAGCTGCCTTGAGGTCACCCACTATCCTTCAGAGCCAATCAGAGCTCGGCGTTCTGACGTCAACACAACCCCTGCAAAAGAAGCAGACGAACCTGCGTTTGCCATAAAGACGGCTTTAACGTGCCTGTGTATTCCACCAAACCGTGAAACCAAAGCGAGTAATTCAACCGGGTAACCAAACCGGGTAACAATATTTGGTAACCAATCCAAAAAGAGTGGTTCTTTGAGGCGTAAATCTCAAAATGACATTCTGAGGAGAATAAAGAGTCTGGAAGCAAGCCTCACTTCGCTCTGACTCTACAATCAACCTGCAGGTGATTCAGAGTAGGACCAAAGACGACCCCAGTTACGCCTTCGATAAATCCTATCAAGATTATGAGAAAGGATTTGGATCACCAGAAAAGTCATTCTGGATAGGCAAGTAAATATATCAAGCCTTGTACATTTGCATCTGGAAAAGGCAGCCCGCATCTGGTACAAAAAAAAAATGCTTAAAGGAGCAGTGCAACGGTTTTAATGTTGAAAGAATTGCCAGTTTACATTTTTTATATTGTTCATTCATGCCCAAGTGACCAAAAACGCGTCGCCTTTCCCAAAAAAAAAAACAGCTATTCTGCTGCGTAATCGCAAGGCAAAAAACTAATATTTTGCCGATCTGCAGCCGCCGGTGGCGGCTACGGGAACTAAAATGTCGGCGTCTCTGGGGGATACGCGGAAGTCAACAGACCCTGTCCCCCTCCGCTGCTACACTCGCCGTCAGCCCCGTGGCGAACCGTCCTTTGCGTTTATCGCTCGCCGCTACCTTCGACAAGGCTAATCCTTTGAAAGTCGACAATCACGGAGAAAGCGGCTGGGGTCTCTGAAGAGAGGGCCCAAGGGGAAACCACGTGAGCCCCCAGAGACGTCACTCGAAAGTCGGCGTGGAGAGTTGAGAGGCACTTCGACCTTCGATTTGTTTCATTTTTTTTTTTGTTTGTTTTGTTTTAAATAAGAACTAGCGCTCGCAAGAAAATGCGGCTTTCGGTTTTTCGTTCCATAGGTGACGCAGATTAATTTCCGCAGTTAATTGGCCAAAGTCTGAAAATCGTTGCACTGCCCCTTTATGGCCTGTCCAAACGGGACACTTCAGAAATCGTGGGGTGACACAACTACGTCAAAAATCGTGAAAGTTGAAGCGTACAGCATTTTGGCAGTCCGATGTCTGTTTGAATACCACCGAGCAAACATCACGATTTTCCTCTTCGCTTTCTCCGCTTTTCGGGGACCTCGGTATTCGTCAGACTTGACTTCACCCGCCACCTGCCAATGCTGACAATCTGTTCTGCCGGGCCCTCGTATCCTTGGTTATGTTCCAAAATTTACTCGATCTTACTCCAGGGTAATGGTTTTGCACATTTGCATCCGAAAACCTACCCGCGTTCACCATCCCTATCCGTGTTATCACGTGGCTCGACCCGCCGGAGATAAGCTCAGATCTATTCGGGCAAGATTTCGAACACAGCCTTTCCCGTTTTCGGGGCCTGAACAGCATTGGAGGCCTTGAGCAATTGACTGACAGCCAACAGAGCTTGTGAGTGGCTGTCCGGAGTCCGGACCCACGTGATGCGCATGCTCAAGACCCCCGTGGAAGACTCGGTTGAGATTTGAGGGTGGGAACTTTTCCCCTGCGGCAAAAAAGAACGGACGGAAGCGAACCGCCGCATCATTTATGTCGGAGCCGTATCGCCCCACGATTTTCGAAGCATCCGGTTTCGACGGGAATTTAGCCTCCCGTCAAACACCTGTGAAAGGAGAACATGTTAACCCGTCTCACGTGGCCCCCACGTCACATCCCGCGGTAAACTTTCTCGCTAAATTTTGGGAGGACAATGTGACGACTGTTACATCAGAACAGTGAGTTACGTTACATCTCTCTTAAAATGACACCTAATTAAAGAAAAACAGTATCTTGCATTAAACAAGAAACAGCAGCAGTGGCAATATTTAAGTTTATTCCAGGCGTAAAATGAAAATAAAAACAGGCAATAAAAATACTCTACGCTGACAGCCTATACGTGCTTACCTTATTTACCATTGGTGATGACACTATCCAATCAAAACAATTGCTTTCACACTTAATTTTATTTGGCCTAAAATTTATCTTGTTCATTAATACAAGCAATTATACAACGACGCACCCTTTGATATGGAAACATGTGATTATACAGTATTGTGAACTAAAAAGTGTGAGTCGCTAAGCTTTTAGGAGATCCTTTCAAACTCACTAGATTTACCTTGGTATGAACTGCTTCTAGCCAAGGCTAGGTTAGCAAACCCAGTGAATCTTTTCAAACAATCGCATGCTTTTAGGGCTTTTAGACTTAAAACGTTATGCTTCCTCACAGCTTCCGTTAGAAGCAAGCTTAGGCCACAGTGCTAGCATAGTATTTAGAAATAAAGGTTCTTTAGTTAGTTTCATTTTACAACAAGGTGTTTGTGTTTTATTACTAAACGGAATACCTTCCATTAAAGGAAACACGCATCTTCACGCACTTACGAGTTTTCCAAACAACCAACAAGCTCTAAGGATCGAACTGACAAGGAAAGAAGGGGACAAGCCGACCGTTGTGCAGTACCGTAAATTTCACGTCGGAACCGAACAGGAGAAGTACAAGCTCACAACCGGCGAGTACGATGGTCCTCCGGGTAGGTACTGGCACTGTCGCCATGCCCCTCGCGCCATGTCATGGCTAGAAGGCGTGATGGCACTTGTAATTGCGTGCTTTTGCCGCGAAAAGCGGTAACACTGCCTACACTCTAAAAAAAGCCCGTGCGTCAACTTTCCCGCACAACACTCTGAGATCCAATTACCGCCACTTATGGAGGCAGCTCAGCGAATGACGATGCCGAAACATATGTTTAGACCAAAAGACGCAGTCTGAGTTGTGACATTAAGCAATTCAAGCGTGACGTTTTGCATTGATTAATGTCACAACTCAGACTACGTTTTTTTGTCTAAACATATGTTTCGGCATCGTCATTCGCTGAGCCGCCTCCGTAAGTTGCGGCGATTGGTTCTCTGAGTGTTGTGCGGGAGAGTTGACGCACGGGCTTTTTTTTAGAGTGTATAGAAACCATCATTTTTAAATTTCGGTTTCCTATCGGCAGTTTTTTTAAGAAAAACCATACGTCTAAATTCGCTAATAAAAATATAATTGCCCAAACATAATTAGAAACCTACTCTCCCCGAAAGTTAATAATTATTCTGGAGAGATCCAATTGTAGAGACCAGTACGTCATCACTCTTCTGTGTGACGCGTAGCTACGCAGAAACGATTTGACCGACGTTCTGCAAACCTTTTGTAGCTTTTTTTCAAATCGTAAGTATAATATCTTATATTGTAAACTCTTCGCTGCTGTTTCTCAGAAGATTTGGTTTACCATTCGCTTTAACTACAGACATCCGTAGTGATTGATATAGTTGAAGCCCCAGCACGATTCCGGACATATATTATTGACTCTTTGAGTGGTTTTTGTAGACGCCAGACTAAACGCCTCTTCGAAATACCCAGGCTTCCCTACATGCTATTTATTATCTCTCAATTTTAATTAGCTATAGAGAAAGCAGCAAATGAAGGCTGTGCCAAAACCAACATTAAATTTGTCCCACGTTCTCGAGTAGTGTGACGTCACAGGCTGTATAACGTGGAAGTCGAGCAGACAGTCTAAAACAACACAATACTTTGAGCGGTGTCTTTTTTTAATTTTTTTTCCGTTTGCCGGCGTAAGTGTTTCCGCAATTCAATCCACACCACCAAACGGGAACGAACTGTGCTGCCCCCATATAAAAATAATGAATTGATGGATACATTGATAGATGATAACTGCTGTACCCTTTGTAATGGGCGGTAGTTTGCGCCACCTAGCGTCACGTGTTTGACGTCACGGTTTTAGAGTTGCCAGTGTTGCTGTGGAGCCCTTCAGGCCAAATTTAAAAATTAAATAACTCCTCAAACAAATATTGTGACTTGTAATTTAGGCTACTAGTTCGGCTGTGTCAACTAATATGTTGAACCAATTTTGAGGCAAACCATTTTGGAAGTGAAGAAAAGCATTTTGCATCTACTGACGCAGTAAAATGTTTCTGGATGTTTGCCGCTAACAGAACATATTATTTTATGTTTGCGGCTCATGAGTATATAGTGCAAGAGCCGTCAGCACAGTTGCTTGATTCACTCTGGTTTTTGGCATGCACAGGTTACGACGCGTTGTCCTACCACAACGATGCCAAGTTCACCACCAAGAACTGGACAAACGTTTACGACGGAGACAGCTGCTCCGGAAGTCAAAGTGGTGGCTGGTGGTTCAAGGAATGCAGCAAGTCAAATCTTAATGGATTCCATTCCACCATACATCCATTAATAAGGGCCTTCAGTATTACCTGGCACATAAAAGACAAAGATGAATCCTACTATTACACCTACCACAAGGTGGAGATGAAGATCAGGGACGCCGACTTTGGCTTCTGCACGGGCTCTCTAAAATCCTAACTTCTCTTATTTCTGATCTGCGCTTCGGTGCAAAAAAGCACTAAATCGCGCGGAAGTTATCATTTACAATATGCTCCGTGAATTTCTCGCTTTTTGACTTTTCTCAGCAAACATTGTAAATAAAATATCACTTATAGAGAACACAGCTCGCTTGTCGTTGCTCTTCGTGCTACCGCTAAGGTATACCTCTAGAGCAGCGGTCCCACTGCTTATACATATTACAAAACACAGTCTCCACACACCGTCTGATACTTTCCTTGTATACAAGGGTGCCGTTACATTGGCCCTACACATAGTGTCTACAGGCATGTTTGAATCATGTATGAAGCAACTATGCGTCGAATATGACTAAGGCCTGTCCACGGGGAATTCTGTCATCATGTCTTTAGACCGTGTCTTTTGTATGATGCGTGAGCAGTGTGACAGCGGCTTAAATTCACCAAGTGAGAACCATTGGCGCCGTCTTATTCGAAGCTAAACGACCATTGCTTAGAATTACAGAAGCGACAGATGTGTTTAGACAGCGGCTTCAGGAGCCGTATGTGTCTGCGATGTAAACGAACAACCTGGTCGTTACTGCACGGCTTACGAGGGGTGGTTGTTAAATAATACGCCGCGGAACGCTCGTTCTTTGTTCAGATGTAGTCCTGGCAGTCCGAGCCAACAGGTTACCCAAAGTTTCAGACTTAAGCGTCATCTTTTTCAAAAGTTATAAGCGATTCGCTGAAATTTTTATTGGGAAAACGCCCGCCGACGGAGCTCTCGAATACGTGGAGCTAAAGAGCGCCAGTTACCGAAAATGGGCAACAACGGGCTTTATTTTACGTAGAAAGTTTTTTAGAAACTCACATACAATTTGTATAAGAGAGGTAATTTAGGCGAGTTGGTGATGCATTACTAACGAGAAAAAAACCCCAAAACTGACAAAGGGCAGGTTTAACGACACGACAAGCGTCTACTTCTACCTGTCCTTCGACGTTTTTTGCACCGTTTTTCGTTAGTAACCTAACTTTTGAAGGAAAAAAGAGGGTTGTGGGAATGTTTACACAGCCTGAAGTTAGTCTGCCTCAACGGGCGACTTGTCCTCAGCTGTAGATGAGCAATTCACCCACTGCAGTACAACCGCTAACCTGGGGTCTTTAACCTCCACGACGCAGGAGTGAAACACGACCGAACGCCGGTACAATGATCATCCAGATCCAAACAGGCAGGGGTGGGGACATTAATTTTGAATGAGATGACGGTTAGTTTTGAAACGCTGGCATTTGTTTCGGACTTGTTCGGACCTTAGTGCTACATCTGGGCGTAAAATGAGTGTTTGATGATGCATAGGTAATTTTCGCAGTTAAAAGTAAAATAAAAAAAAATGTAAGTCTGTGTGTGTGTGTGAAGGGGGGGGGGGTTCATAGGGTACATACGATTTTTTTATTGTTGGAAACAAGGCTGCAGTCCAAATGTCAACCCTTTGAGCAGCACCGCAGTTTCTTCTTTTGTCTCGGCATAGTTCTTGTCTTGCCAATTTCATTTTCGGCAACGTGGGAGTTTTTCATTGCATCGATTGTCTCCATGTTTCACGTCGTACTAGAATATTTCCACCTCCTCACACGTGATATTCTTTTCCAGCCAGTCCGGTCTTGCAGCCAGTTCTTCCATGAAATCAGAACAACTTTCTTCCAAGGAAACGACGTTGAAAAATTAGTTTAATTCTTTGCAAGGACCGGCGATTTATTTATTCATTTATTCAGTTATTAATATCTCCCTTGCCAGGGCAATATTGTAGAGAGAAAACGATACAGAAAAGACAACATTTTCAGTATATATCAAAAATATGCGTATGATTCTAAGAACTTCAAATGACATCAGCTATGAAAATATTGACATAATAGAAAATTTGGGACAAAACAAACAAATCGGCAAGCACACCAGCAATCGAATTCGCAAATTGACAGTTAGCCAAAAAAGAAACTCTGCAGAACCGATAAAAAGACGAACCTGGGGAGGAGGCACTTTCATCTGGTAGGCTATTTCACTCGTTAACAACACATAGAAAAATAAAAGCTTTGGTTTTATAGCCACTATTATGAATGTGTAAAATGTTTTTAATTGATTAGGAGAAATCTTAATAGTTGTGGGACTCTAGTTTACCCGAAAGTCCTCAGTGAGGCAAATACCCACTCCGTAACTCGTCGGTTGCAAAAGGTGGGTTTCGACTTACCTTGCTGATCGCTGTGAGGCAAAACCCACTCCGTAGTCCGTTGCTATGGCGGCTACGGCCGGGTCCGTCCGTTGGTTGCCGCTAGGCTCCGGTGGACGGGAGACCACACCAAACACAGGGATACCGGAGAAGCGTGTTTATTGGCCTTACGCCACACGCTTTGCGTCCGTAGGCGGAACAAAAGAGAAATGAGGTTGGCACTGCCTTAATTGACAGGATCACCAGGAGAAGGGTCCGCGCTGCCGTAACTGACAGGATCACGGAAAAGGGGGAGCAGTAAAATAACGATGAATGCTCCGTCGAGCGTAGCCCCGGCCACAGGTGGGTGGCCGGCTTATGTAGCCTGCGGGAAATAGACGCGCCCGGGGAGGCCGGTAGAAGGTCACTCGAAAACGGGACGCGTCCATATTCACTCCAAAGGGTGTGCCGATGGCGCGTTCACCCAAAAGGGCAAGGGAGAACTGGCCCTTTCGGGGAATTCGGCCTCGTGGTTCCTTGTATCCGGGAGGCCGACGCCATTGGTGACAACGCCTCCCACGGCCTGCTTGAAGCTAGGCCTAGATAGGGATAGAGGGAACCCGATGATTCCCACAAAGTACACACTGAAATGCAAGCTGATATAGTCACGGCTTAATTAGTTAATGACCGTGTAAATATTGCCTCGAGCTTCTTATGTTTCCCTCCGATACTGACGTGTGAATTTTACTCTTCGTAATATAGAAATAAAATAAAAAGGTCGACGAGGAATTTCTTAACATAATATATTCGTCTGTTGTAACAAACAAATTTTTTTTAAGAAAAGCTTATCAAAAATTCTTAAACGAAAAGTATCAAAACTTTCTCATCCACTTTATATATCACCATCTATTATTTAGCACGTCTGTAAAATTATCGCCCACTTAATGCTAGTATCACAGAAAAAAATAGAAGCACCTGGCAATATTCACTCGTTATTTATCTAATAAAAGCATTAACGCATGACTATAAGCTTCTCCTTGAATTTCTATAACGCAGAACATATTTCCCAAAAGGAAAAAAAAATATATAAGTATGTGAAATTGCCATTAAATTTTTCAATGAGGCGACCTCGTGCCTAACAAACTAAAGCAGAAAGTATATCGAACGTCTGCGTCGTCACCGGAAGAGCGGTTGTCGAGCGCCTGCGCATGCCCAGTGCCGACAGCAGCGCCACCGCAGTGGTGTGACATCCCAGAGTTGAGTTGATCTATACACCAACTCATGTTTACAAACAAACCGGAGCGCCCGGAGCGCCCCTAGCGGACGCCACCGGCGCCGCGCATGCGCGATGGGGGTGTGGGCAAAAAGCTCGCCGTCGCCCATAAACAAACCATTGAAATGCGATGTTGTCGGCGTCGGTGTGAGTCCCCCTGCCCTTTTTCGCGTTCGAATTGTTGGTTCTACGTCTTCCTGGCGATGTCTGACTATCTTGAGCGGCGTAAGCGAAATTACCGAGGCTCATTACACCGCAAAACTTCACGTGAATAATGTGACATGCGGCGATTCATTCCGCGTGGACGCCGCAGATTGTATGCTAAAGCCTGATTCACATGATGAGATTTCGCTCAGAATTTTCAGTCGCGACGCCGCTCGGGCGGCAAAAGCGTGAACCGTGGCTGAGATGGTCGACGACGATACTGAAAATCGCAAGCAGAATCGGACCAACTGAATTAGGCGTAACAAGTCGGTGTTGGTCACTGGTAACAATGACGAACATCTCCTCGTATTTACTGTTTACATCCAGCCTACTTACCAACCTTCAAATTTAAGTCTTTCGAGGCCTGCACTCACTTCTTATCGCAAGTACCGCGCCAACATTTGGTCTACGGACCGGCGTCGTCTAAGAGAGCAGACGACAAGCAGAAACGTTTGAAAGAGCAGACGACAATTCAAACAATCAGGCGGCCGTTTGAACTTGAAGACGCACTGAACGTAGTCCCGAGGTGGTCCGCACAACTTGACAGTTTTCTCGCGTTCATGTTAGAACAAAACAAATAAATCTGATGGCCACAAGTATCCGTGAATTCAACCCAAAGTGCTTCCCGCCCAAGCAATCGTTGTCCGACGGCGTCTGCTTTTCCCTTTTCACGGCACATATCCAGATTCTCGAACGAACCCAGCACGTGAAAACTGACCTTCAAACCTTTCTCGACACTTTTGGTACGGCCCCAGTCGCGGCGTTTTGACGAGAAGTTAGGTTTTAGTCTGGTTCCTTTCAAAACAACGCAGGAATACACGTCTGGCATGGGGACTTCTGCCCACAGCCCCAGACCGGAAGTGCGACCGACGCGCCACCACCGCGCCGTGACGTCACAGAGATGAGTTCGTGTATACACGAGGTACGCTCGGTAATGTTCCGAAGCAGAACACTCACTCACACGGTGCGCATTAAGGCCACGGTCCCACTGAACTTAGCAGTTTAGGTACTTTTTGGCAGGTCATTACTCATCTTCTTTTAAATACTGTTTTGTGGGATTGATGTTGTTCGAAAGGCAATGCAATACTCAACGAGGTAGAGGGGCTTAGAGTGATAAACCGGAAGTTCGAAAGTGGCACCCCCCCGGTTGCCGAAATACTTTACGCAAATGTGACCACTCGTCACGTGACCTCCCAAGAGCCGTGACGTCACTGGTAAGATGGCAGCGCCCAGAGCTGGAAGATGCGAGATTGTTCGGTGCGTGGTAGCCGTGATGTGCAGCTGCTTTCCGACGACTTCGGGCTTTTACGTGTTCGCTGACGCAGGTATCATGTGAAAATATGAAGAAAGGAGACTTTATACCCTTTCTACTCAAGATCGCACTGGATCATCTGAATATTAACACCTGTGAGGCAGCATCAGCCGTATCGCCGTACCGGTGCTAGGAT